CAGGCGTGCACCACCACTCCCAGCCCCTCTTTCAGTTTTAACGATGACTTTTCTTTTCTTTTTTGAGACAGGGCCTCACTCTGTCACCCAGGCTGGAGTGCAATGGCATGATCTCGGATCACTGCAACCTCCGCCTCCCAGGCTCAAGCGATTCTCCCACCTCAGCCTGAGTAGCTGGGACCACAGGCGCCCACCACCATGCCTGGCTAATTTTTGTATTTTTAGTAGAGATGGAGTTTTGTCATGTTGACCAAGCTGGTCTTGAACTCCTGGCCTCAAGTGATCCACCCGCCTCAGTCTTGTTCAGCTTCTATGATGATTTTTCTATTCCTCCAACACACCAGCCCGTAGCAGCTCCTGAGCAGATATACTCTTCTCCCCTTTCCATGGCTGGTTTTTTCTTTTCATGAAGGTCTTAAATGTAATCCCTTCAGAAGGAACTTCCTTTTCCATCCCTAATTTACACACACCATTCCTACCTGGGCCCCCAACCAGCATTCTGATGTTACTTTGAAATACATTAAAAAGAAGAAGAAAGAGGAGGAGGAGGGGGTTGCTGGATGGATAGATGGATGGATCTATAATAAAGTAATACAGTAACATGTCAGTGGTGGCATCTAGGTGATGGGTATATGAGCATTCACCATGAAATTATTTCAACTTGACCAGGCGCGGTGGCTCACACCTGTAATCCCAGCACTTTGGGAGGCCAAGACAGGCAGATCACGAGGTTAGAAGTTCGAGACCAGCCTGGCCAACATGGTGAAACCCCATCTCTACCAAAAATACAAAAAATTACTGGGTGTGGTGGCGCGTGCCTGTAATCCCAGCTGCTCTGGAGGCTGAGGCAGGAGAATCACTTGAACCCAGAAGGCAGGGGTTGTGGTGAGCAAAGATCATGCCATTGCACTCCAGCCTGGGTGACAGAGCAAGACTTTGTCTCTAAACATGAAATTATACCAAATTGGCCAGACGTGGTGGCTTATGCCTGTAATCCAAGCACTTTGGAGGCCAAGGCGGGCGGATCACCTGAGGTCGAGAGTTCAAGACCAGCCTGACCAATGTGGTGAAACCCCATCTTTATTAAATAAATAATAAAAACTTAAAAAAATTATTTCAACTCAGGCTGGGCGTGCTGACTCATATCTGCTATCTCAGCATTTTGGGAGGCCAAGGTGGGAGGATCACTTGAGGCCAGGAGTTCAAGACCAGCCAGGCAACATAGCAAGACCCCATCTCTAATAAACTTTAATATATATATACACACACACATAAATAGTTCTTTCAACCTGGCTGCATGTTTGAAATGTTTCATAGTAAATGTGGGGGAGTGGAGAAGCAGGACTCTTCTGGTGGCAAAAAATAGCCCCACAACCATTTCTGTCTAGCACATCACCTTATTAATTTCCCTTATAGTACTTATCACTCTCCTTTTTTAATTTTAAAAAATGTACTTTAAAAAGAAAAAAAGACATGAGGTCTTGCTATGTCATCCAGGCTGGTCTCGAACTCCTGGGCTCAAGCTATCCTCCCTCCTTGGCCTCCCAAAGTGCTGGGATTACAGGCATGAACCACTGTGTCTGTCTTTTGTCACCCTCTTAAGGATTTTGTTTATTTGTTGACCTATTAATTGTTAATTATTTACTTACTGTCTAGTCATTGAAATGTAAGCCTCCCGAGGTGTCCATGTTGGCAGGGACACCAACATCCTCCGGTGCCCAGAACAGTGACTGCTACCCAGGAACTCAGTAAACATGTGTTCTTTTTTAAGACAGGGTCTCCCTCTGTCACCCAGACTGGAGTGCCGTGGCTCGATCATGGCTTACTGCAGCCTCGACCCCCCCCGGCTCAGGTGATCCTCCCACCTCAGCGTCCCAGCTACAGGCACACACCCCCACATCCAACTAATTTTTTATTTTGTGTAGAGACAGGGTCTCATTATGTTGTCCAGGCTGGTTGCACACTCCCGGCCTCTAAGATTTCCAGCCTCGGCCCCGACAAAGTGTAGGGATTACAAGGTGTGAGCCATTGCACCAGCCAACATGTGCACTTTTTGTTGTTGTTGTTGTCGAGACAGAGTTTCACTCTTGTTGCCCAGGCTGAAGTGCAATGGCATGATCTCGGCTCACCGCAACCTCTGCCTCCTGGGCTCATGCGATTCTCCTGCCTCAGCCTCCCGAGTAGCTCAGATTACAGGCATGCACCACCACACCCAGCTATTTTTTGTATTTTCAATAGAGATAGGGTTTCACCATGTTGACCAGGCTGGCCTCGAACTCCTGAACTCAGGTGATCCTCCTGCCTCTCCCTCCAAAGTGCTGGGATTGCAGGTCAGGAGTTCAAGACCAGCCTGGCCCAACATATGTTCTTGAATGCATCTTGGGAAAAGCTAGGCTGGCTCCAGACTCACTTCAGGGACCCCAGGAAGGAATAAATACCACCTCCTAGTCCAGGTTCCCTAGAAGAAAAGGGTATTCTCCAGCAGCTGGAGAATGTTTCATGAGGTCAGGGAATGTGGGAGTTGGCCTGAAAAAAGGGCAACAGGTTGAAGTATATATCTTAATTCTTTCCCTGGAGCCCTAATTCCTGCCCCAAACCTAATACAGACCCTCTACCAATCCCATTCTTCAGGCCCTGCCCCAAGCCTAGGCCCCACCCCTAGACTATTAGGCCCCCAAACCCAAACAAAAAACTCCAGCCCTTTTTAAGCTAAGCAATGCCCATTCCAGCAGAGTCTTATCCCTCGGTCTCTGTCTTAGAGAACACCCCAAGTATAAAATATTCAGAACTCCTCAGCCTAGCCCCTTGCCACACACACCCTCAGCCTGAGCCCCACCCATGTACCTTGCTCCTCCCGGAAAGCATCCCACCTCTCTGCCTAAATTGGATCCCAGATGCCTAAGCTAGGTCCAGCCCTCTCAGCTCTGTCCTAAAGACCAGCCTCCACCTCTCCAACATGAGCCACAAGGTGGCTCACAGCCAAAGTTAGGAAGTCCCCCAGGTATAGGGCCCAGACTCAAACGTCAGGGAGCTTGGATCTGTGGGCGCTTAGAGGATAGGTTGGTGGAACTAGAGGAGGCGGTCCCCAGTTTATACTGCCTCTCCTGAAAGTCGCTCCAAACCTGAAGACACGCCCCATTGTACTGACTCCTCGTTGGATGGTGCAATCTGTTCTGGCCTCTCTGATTGGTCCTACCACAATCCCTAGCCATACTCATTCTCTATTGGACTGCGCCTGTGAGCCACCTTCTCTGATTGGCCCCTGCTTTCCCATGCTTTGCTCCTGATCGGGCAAGTCCTTGTGCATGGCTCTTTCTGATTGGATCGTTTGTAATCACAAGCCTGGATGGAACAGAAGTTGCACTATGGAGGGTGGCAGTACCACGGAGGAGGAGAAGGAGGAGGAGGAGGAGGTGATTCCCTAAATCTCTTGCCTAAGACACGGTGTGGCCATTGAGCCCAAGATAACCTGGGGTTAGAGTTCTAACTGTACAAACCACGGGTGCCTTTGGCTTCTGTGCCTCAGTTTTTCATCTTTAAGTTGGGAAGAATAATAGTACCTTTTAAATAAAGTATTCCAAGAATTAAATGAGCTAATGCTTATAAAATGCTTATAGAAGTACCTGGTACATAGGAAGCCCTCAAGAGGAGGGTCAGCTATTAGTATTCATTTGATCATGTAATTGCACGACCTTGGATGAGTCCCTCTGCCTCTCTGACCTCTGCAGGCCAGGAGTTCCTTGTCCGTTTAATTGAATGATCCCCTGGTGTCTCCAGCTCTCCTCCTCCTCCACCTCCTGCCCTCAGGGACTGGGCCTGTGATTAGAGGGAGGGACAGAGAGATGGGGATAGGAAAAGGGCACTAGTGAAAAGCAGAGGAACTCAACCCAACCTTCCAGAGAATTTAGGGCAGGGTGAATTTCTTTGTGGACCAGTGTCGAGTGATTCTATCCCGAATCCCTCAAGCAAAGGACTTGCCCTGATTGAGGGTGAGTGGGCAGGAGATAGGGTGGAGTGGGGTGGTAAGGGGATGCTGTGTTAAGGCTGGGAGGGCTTGGAGCTGGGCTTTTTGGACCCTACCCGCGGGAACGCCAAGGTTGGGAGATGGGCAGCCCAGGCCCAAGGTCACTGTGTCACTGTTGCCATGGCAACAGCCACCTCTCTACCGGGAACCTGAAAAGGGGTGGGGGGGAGGGAGTTCCCACGTCCCTGAAACCAGGGACAGAGAGGGGAGCAATCAGAAACATGGAAGAGAAGCAGAGAGACAGAAAGGGTATGATTCATCTGTGTGAAGACCTACCCATCTCAGAATTCTCAGAGCTCGGTACACTGTGGGTGCTTAATCAATGTCCCTCACAGACAGACACAGAAAGCCTGAGAAAGTTCGATGTCCAGAGATGCCAGAAGAAAGAAAAGAACGATCTTCAGATGGAGGCAGGTGTCCCTTCCCTGTCTCCTCAATCTCACACCCCTAGGGGTCCACTGAGGGCCCAGGTTGGACTTCACCTTCCCCAGCCCTGGCCCCTCAGGCCTACCCAACCATACAAACCATCCACCCCCAGCAGCTCCTGAGATCTTGAAGCATTTACGTTCAAACCTCTTTGGCATTTAAATTCTTCCTATCTAGGGGCTCCATGGAGAAAAGTCGCATTTGGTGATGCCTGCTGCCCCCCAGAGGTGGGGAGGAGAGAGAAAAGGGGCACTTTGCCTCCTTTATTCTCAGCGGTACTTGTTCCCCTTGGGAGTGACCACTCCATAGATCCAGATATTCCCCCCAATACCTCCAGGAGACCCAGGCCTCGCCCATCCATCCCTCCACCCCTCAAGAAAATCCTACAGCCCCTTCCCTTTCCAGGAAACAGGTATCCTCCTTGCCTCTCGGGACCCAGCTTCCATTCCACTAGGTCAGCCCGCCCCCTGCTGGCCAAAGGCTGACACTGCAGGAACAGTCGGCTAGAGCCCAGTTGAGAGGCAGAAACTGAGTCCGAACTGAGGATCTCTGAGTTTTTGCATTTTTAAATTTATTTAAAGTCTTCCTTGTTCAGGTCCTAGGAATCCAAGTCCCCAATCACCTTGAGGACTCAGACATCAGGAATTCAGGTCTCAGCCCAGAGATCAACGAAAGAAAGACAACTTTTCTTGGAGCCAGGCCTCGGTGAGGTCATCAGTGGTGCGGATTTCAAACACCTGGGCGGAAAGAGGTCTCAACATTATGATCCACTCAAGAACTGAAACAGTGGCCAGGCGTGGTGGCTCACACCTGTAATCGTAGCACTTTGGGTAAGCCAAAGCAGGTGGATTATCTGAGGTCAGGAGTTCAAAACCAGCCTGGCCAACATGTTGAAACCCTGACCCTACTAAAAATACAAAAATTAGCCAGGTGTGGTGGTCGATGCCTGTAGTTCCACTACTTAGGTGGCTGAGGCAGGAGAATCTCTTCAACTCGGGAAGGATGTTGCAGTGAGCTGAGGTTGTGCCACTGCACACCAGCCTGGGCGACCATGCGAAACCCAGTTCCTTTTTTTTTTTTTGAGATGGAGTCTCGCTCTGTCACCCAGGCTGGAGTTCAGTGACATGATGTCGGCCCACTGGAACCTCCACCTCCTGGGTTCAAGCGATTCTCCTGCCTCAGCCTCCCAAATAGTGGGACTACAGGCATGTGCCTCCATGCCCAGCTGATTTTTTGCTTTTTTTTGTTGTTGTTTAAATAGACGACAGGGTTTGACCATGTTAGCCACATGGTCTCAATCTCCTGACCTCGTGATCCGCCCACCTTGGCCTCCCAAAGTGCTGGGATTACAGGCTTGAGCCACCTCGCCCAGCCGA